AGAGACCTCGTTTATTTGCCCTATATAAATCCATCTATTATTATTATTATTAAAATTATTATTATTATTATTATTATTATTATTATTATTATTATTATTATTATTATTATCATCATTATTATTATTATTATTATTATTTAGGGCACTTGTTGACCCTACCAAAGATATTAGAGAAACACAAGTGCGGTGATTTTATGCTGTGCGACGAAATACAATTTCCCCAATTCAGTCTAAATCAAAGATTTTTGGTGTAGGCCTAAACAACCTTTTGCAGGCACAGGCGGATTCAAGGAGGGGCCCATTCCCCACCCTAAATTTTTTTTAAATTGTAAAAAATTAGAGAAAAAAAATTACATTCAAACTTTAAGTCTGAGAGTGCTATTTCCGGCCATCTAGAGGCCATAATCGTAAAGTTTCTTATCTCAGTCCCAACCATGGTGGGGATGAGGTGATATAGATCCTCCATCTGTCAAACTCCCTCCTTGGGCCCCCTCCATTTCAAATTCCTGGATCCTCCACTGGCAGGGGCAATTGGCAAGGTATTTGGACTCATTACTGGCACCTCATCAATGTTTTTTTTTTATTTATTTCATTGTGAAAAGGCCCTAGAAAAAATGTAAAAAATGTGAACCTTTGAAAATTTGGGAGGGGGGGGGAAGTCGTACGACCTTTCCCACTCCCTCACTCCCTCCCTTGGGTACACCCATGCCTACTGTATATGGGTGTCTCCAAAACGAAGCCCAAAGACCCGAAAAACTAAACGTGACTAGGGCTTGGCATAGCGGACGCGTATTTTGGGGGCCTATAAGAACCTTGAATATTTCATTCATAAACTTGTTTCATGTTAAAATAAACAGTAGGAATTTTGTACAGTGACGCAATTTTGTGCAGCATTCGGTCATTTAGTAGTGACACCGACATTGAATGGATGAGATTATTAAGGGTCTTCGTTTTATAGACGTCCTATATAGAATAGGTGTCTATAAACGAACATCGACAACCCGAAAAACGAAGACCCACATTTTTTTCTCTTAATCGTGATAAAAATAATGTTTTTTGTTTTTTGTTTGTTTTTTTTCTGTTTTTTTTGTTTTGTTTTGTTTTGTTTTGTTTTTTTAATCATTTCATGCTATGTATATATAATATTTAACTTTCTAGCACATTAATTGCCTGAATTTGAGTCAATTTAATGTTATTCTGGTGGAGGTCTTCGTTTTGCAGGTTTTCGGTCTTCGTTTTGTAGACACCCAGGGTGTCTATAAAGCGAAGACACTTGATAACATCACAAACAAAAGTACAAATAATCTCCTAATTATGATTTTGTGACAGTCTGGTGTAGTACAGTATCATTAAAAAAGAGAGAAAAAGTGTGGGTCTTCGTTTTGTACACACCCATATAGTTGGGCCATATGAAAAAAGAGTTGTTGATCGTCCTTTTCTGTTTAAAATGTCTAGATAGAGGGAGGTGTTTTTTTTTTAATCAGTAATAAAACCACTCCATTGATACATGCCAAGTCTGAATCCTCCATGGAGGACAAGGCCTCATGTAAATGGTGGCTAACTTTGCCGGATCTTCCAGTGTAGCGTTTGATCAGGCGGAATTTACACAAACAATTTAAAGACAAAATATTTACCCAAAGAAAGCCAAGGCCTAGCCGAAGTTGAATTATGGGCAGAAAGACAATACATTTTTGAGTTTTGGTGGGGTGGGGGGTGGAAATTGGTCGGGTGATTTTTTTGAAGTAAGGAGGGGACGATCAAAAGCTCGTTTTTTTTTTACAGGGCCATAGATCGGAACCAAACTTTAGGCCTCGTCACGTTTCCGATGCGCTGAGCGCCAGCGTCCCTATTCTTACACACTGATTCGATTTTCTGATCGTTTCGGTAGGCTTTCCAATCCGAAATAACGATTTGGTGTTAATGCACCACCTCAGCCTGTAACCCCGCCCGTGGGCAGCGATGGCTACAGAAATTTGAGGGTCCGACATGTCCGACGGGGTGAGGGAAATGCATTGTAATATTAATGCAATGTGTACGTAGATAACTATAAATGTTCTATCTTACAGAATTTAATTCACGTCTATAGATAATGCAATAGTACCGTATTCTTTAACAATAGTCGATATTCAACAATTTTAATTATATTATTAATACAATACCCTCAAAATCTTGCTAAATGTTGTACAAAAATGTTGAGCTCTTTTCACTACTTTGAATACAAAAAAAACACCCCAGTCTGAATTGAATACACGCGCTTCAATATTCCTTGGAGGAGCCATATGAAAAACAATTAATATATTATATGCATTCTTTTTATTAACTTAAATTTGTCAAAGAAACATATATTGTGAATTAAGATAAGAGCTTAAGATTGTTTTATGCATAAACTATGAGGAATAATAATAATAATAATAATAATAATAATAATAATAATAATAATAATAAACAATAGTCGATATTTTAGAGGGTGAGTACAGTCCGTAACTCAGCCTCTTGCCTAAAATCAATATGTAGGCCTAAGCTTATGAAAAAGTAAATTTGTCAAAGAAACATATATTGTGAATTAAGATTAAGAGCTTAAGATTGTTTTATGCATAAAATATGAGGAATAATAATAATAATAATAATAATAATAATAATAATAATAATAAACAATAGTCGATATTTTAGAGGGTGAGTACAGTCCGTAACTCAGCCTCCTGTCTAAAATCAATATGTAGGCCTAAGCTTATGAAAAAGTATAGGCCTATATGAATTTAATAAAATTAGATGATGTTTTGACGTACAAGACACGCCAATGATGAAGGACAGTAAGCCTTATGTCAGACATTCCAAGTTAGACTAATTTTGCAGGTGTGAGACTTTTGTTCTCAAAACCTTCCCCTAGGGGGTGGGTGTCCGGGGCCATAGCACAGGAAATTGATTTCCCTGGATACCCGGAAATGCATTCTTTGCCACTTTGGGGTTGTAGTTTTACAAATGAAAATCTGTTAAGAATCCACACTGACATGAGCCGCGCGTACGTGATGTTTTTGCCAAATTGGCCCTTCTAACTTTTCTGAATAGGGATAAAAAAAAAATGTGCTGGTTCGTTGGTTGTTGCCAATTTGATTTAGATTCTCTGAAAAATTTGTATCTGACACAACTTACTCTTCCAAAAACACTGTAACACGTGCAAGGTACTGCCCGTTGCCCGATACTGTAGGCAGCTCCATAATTTGATTGGTTGAGAGTGATACTTAAAATTGAAAGCGAACCCAACTTAACCCTAGTAGTACGCCATCATTAATTTGTGTTCGAATGTGAAAACTATTATAAGAAATGTGTAGATGATGAATATTACCGAGAGAGCTAGACCTACAAAGTATACTTATATTTTCATTATATACCGTAGGCAATATTACATGCGTGAGATTTTGTCCTTAAGCGTGAGACGTCGAATGCGTGGGTTGGTGTATATGATTAAGTAGACATTGGTAGTAACTTCTAGAAAAACGGAAATTGCGAAGCTGACGAGAATTTTATGAGCATGCACGTGATCATTGCCCCTTATCTCTACTGGTTAGTCGATTTTTTCTTGAATGCGCTATAAATGTTACCGACGTATAGGCCTATGGTTAATAAAATGCCTTCGTATGTAATTTATAGCCTCTAAAGGTGAGAGGAGGAAGTTTGGTGTTTGATACGTTTTAGACATACATTTTCTGAAGAAGCCGGGTGTTTGAAAAAAAGCCGGTAACCGCTAATATAATAAGATAGATTTCGAATATTTACTGGGAGAAACTTCTTAACTGACCAATCAAAAAAGCGCCAGGAATACGCGCGCATGTCCCGCAAAAACACATAAGATTACGTATATTCACGCTGTCGTTTTATGAGACCTTAGCAACAATGTCAGAAACTTGGAGGATATATTAATTTATCTTTACACTCATAGACCTAATGTTAAATATATAATACAGTATAACTATAACAATCTCGTTCTTCTGAAGTAAATACTGAATAAGTGGTTGTAGTTTTAATTTTGGAATTTTCTGTATCCCTCTTTTTGTAGATTATCAAGGCGTTTATGGTTATACCCTCAAATTAATGGCAAGACTACTTTACCAAGAACCTCATTTTCGTAAGAGGGCGCTATTGAAGAAGTGTCTTTTCTGCAGCTTGCAAGGACCTAATTCGAAAATGCTATGAATTTGTAGTATTGGCTGGTTTTGTGACATTGGCCTCTTTTTTTTCCCTAAATAATAAAAAAAGGAAGTAGAATATTCATTAAACCATGAAAAATGTTTGCAATGGTCTGTTAAAAAATAGGTATTCCCAATGGTCTGTTAAAAAATAGGTATTCCTGAAATAATTTCATTCATGAATGTTACAAAAAAAAAAAAAAAAAATGCATTTTTGCATGATAAAAAAAATTTATCAAGATGTATTTAATATTAAGATTAAATAAAAAAATTAAACATAACAAAAAAAACCCATAATTTTAATAATTGCATGAACAATTTTCATAAAGGTAAGTATTTTGATATTTCAATATTAAGAGTATCAAAATATTAAATATTATATATATATATTTATATATACATATATAATATTAATAATAGCATGATCAAATATTTTGTAAAATGCAAATACATAAACCTTAAGATTCTCCAATCTTATTACCATATTTTATAATATTAATATTATAGCAGAGTAAGGAAAAATTCATCTACACATTATCTTTTTAAATGCAATTTACACTTAAAAATAAGTTTAAAAAAATATACTTATTACAGTTGTTATTGTCCTATGTGAATACGGGAAGTTCTATTGAATAGCAGCATTGTCAATTAAGAATGTACACTTAGATCTAAGAAAGAAGTCTAAAGCATGATTATGTATTCGGTCAGTAAAATTCCAGTTCAATTTGATATAACAAGTAAGAAGTCTTTGAGATACAAAAAATCAGTCCCAAACAGCCATGTAATCTGTCCAAAATATGATACATAAACATTGGATTATAAATGTTGACCATTATCAAATGTGTACAAGTTTGCATGCCAAGTCAAAAGACTCTTAACAACCAATTGGAGAAGAATGCTGGAATGGGGAGCTCATGAACAAAGGGAATGTTTAATTGCTTAACAATATTAATTCGGGCTCACGTAAAAATCATCACATGACCATTTGGGACAATTATTACACTTTGCTAACAGTATCCTTACCATTGCTTTACTATTTTTAAAAGCTGAGCATAAACTGAGAATAAGGGTTTCTACTTAATGCTTAATTTACAATGAGTTCTACTTAATACTTAATTTACAATTAGTACTTAATTTACTTATCCAGGGTATATTTACAAATTATGGACATATCGCTATCCACACATTTCAAATACAGAAAACATGAAATATTAATTTATAAAACATCTGAATGTATGTCTAATATAATACAATTCTAAAAAGTTGTGAATTTTCTCATAAAAGAGCAAAATTTTCAGCAACTTAAGTATTCAGCTAAAACAGAGATACTGTACTTTGTGTATCTGTGGTTCAAAATTTGGTAAACTAAGCAGTCAGGTTGTACTTTCAAGATTTTAAAAATAATAATATTTCAGAACCTCAGTCTGGTGTTAAAGGTGCAAATTAATATAAAAACTTTAAAAGCAATTACATAAATAATAAAAATTACATTTATTGAACAGTACTTCAACATTTTTTTTAAAGGATCAACAAAGTACATTACCAAGATATGAATCATAGCCAGTAGTAAAACTGAAACTGCAATAAGAAAATTAATTTATTTTTATTTTAATGCATTCATTTAAAGTTATGATCTATCAATTTTAAAACCAGATCTCACATAAGATGCTGTCAAAATTACACAAGACGTCTTGCATTGGAGTACATTTTTAAAAAGGATAAATTAGTTTTTAAATTTGGTTTAGAAATTCTAAAATCTACTTTATACTAAGGGATGGTAATACTAGGTTATACTTGTTGCACTGTTATTGTAAAATCACTTCATTAGTTTTCTACATTTTTCAATGTGAAACATCACAATTATCAGAAGTTTATAGTTTTTAAAAACATCTAAAATCGATTATAAAAATAAATATTAATCTGCTGGTGGGATTTGAAAACAATTAAGGATTGAATTTATACTATGAAGTTGTTTAGTGGATAACAAATATGTCTACATTTATCGGTGGAATAAATCAACTAAAGCCGTAATTCATTCTTGCAAATATTTTAGGAATTTAAAAGTTTGGTCCAGATACAAAAATGTGTCATATGTGTTCGTAACAACTAGTTGTCCAGTTGTAGCTAGTACAGTGCCCCCTAGAGTCCAAACAGTGCTCGCTGAACTTAGTATAATGCGCTTAAATTTTCTACATAAGAGGAGCATTATACACCTGCAACAATACAATTTCCCTAGAAAACACATGAACGCTTTCATCATAAGTATTGGACTTTTGGGAAGAGAAGAAATTTGATTTTAGAACAATGATTCATTGATGACACCGTCATAGGATTAAGGATGAATGTGAATTTAATACTTATTGGCATTTAAAATTACAAAAAGAAAAATTTAATTGAATAATTCAATTTGGATCAGAGTCAATACAAATCTATCTGACATCTTTAATGACATTCCACAAAACATAACTTAGAAGCGCTGTCAAAATTATATTTACAATCTGGATATTAGTATTCAAATACAAATATCTCCATTGTAAAGTAACCTTGTTTATGTCATCAATTTTTATAAAAACAACGACTACCCCATAATTTTAATAACAGGTCATATTTATCCTAAATTTGGCTATCATTTGGCAGCTCGCCAATAGTTTGCACGATATCACCAAATGATGGCCGATCGGTGGGAGAATTTGACCAACATCTATGCATCAAGATTTCGACCTCATCTGGTGTTCCCTGTGGAGTCTCCAGCATCAGGTCTCCATCAACAATAGCCTTCAAAACATCATCATTGTCCTTGTCTTTATATGGCAACTCTCCAGATGAAAAAACCTCCCAGGTGAGCACACCAAAAGCCCATACATCACTCTTTGTGGAGAAGTCATCTTCATAAATAGCTTCTGGTGGCATCCATCTGATTGGCAGGAGTCGTTGGTGATACTCGTGGTAGTCATTGCGGAACAAGTCTTGCGATACAGAGATGGTTGTGATCTTGATCTCCATGGAAGGACTTAGAAGGCAGTTATGGGCGGCCAGATCTCCATGAGTGTACCGGTGGCTAGCAAGGTGTTCCATCCCTAGAGCGACCTGGTTCATGACATCAATTTTCTGGGTGAGGGTTAGTTGAGGAGGCGAGTTTGCGTGACCATTCTTGCCTTGAGTTGCTATCAGGTAGTTTTTCAGGTCTCCCTGCATTAGAAAATAAGAGAGGAATTATCATTTTGAAGAAGCTACTCACAATTTTTCAGAGAATAAATGTTCCCATGGTACAGAGCTCTCAACTGCTATTAAGCAGACTGTACAGCTTTAACCATATTCAAACTATGTCTAATTTACTGGCCACTCCAACTGAACTTATCAATCCTTGCATCTTTGCCAAGTAGAGAATCGGAAAGTCAAATGCTTCTCATTTCTGAAACAATAGCACATTTACGTCCCTAGTTTGACAGGCTATTGTGCCCAGTCTTTCGAAAAAAGCCTTTAGTACACTTTAAACAATGTATTAGACTTTACACAATAGAGCAGGGAACTGTCTTTACTTAAGCTTGTTTCCACTAGGCAAGTTTATTCGCACGAATTGAGAGCGTCCATGTGCATGCGCCTTTACATTTCTATGAAGTTTTTTGCTTCAGCGAAATCAGTAGTTCAAACTGTTTCTACTTTTTGTGAATCGTAAAAATGCGCAACCAATCGGAAGGTGAACCAACACATTCAATTTGCCCAAATAAATTTGCCTAGTGGAAAACAGGATTTACAACTAGCATAAACTAATTTGTAATATGTCTTACCCAATCTAAATATTCTGTGATCATGAACTGGACGTCAGCCTCTCTACAGATGCCTAAGAGTTTGACAATGTTGTCATGGTCCACTTTGCTCAACATGTCAATTTCTCTTCTGAAGTCTAATTGAACGCTCTCCTCGTTCTCATTCAAAGATTTCACTATAACGGTTGTCACTTCTTCTCCGTCTTTAATACCAACAGCTCTGGCTAAGAACACTTCACCAAATCTCCCCTTACCTGATGAAGCAAAAAATGAAAGTAAGTTCTATTTTTGTTCTGAAGGTTTTATTTGTTTCAGTTTTACTAAAGATCCAAAGACAGAGGGTAGATTGTTCCAGAGAATGGTCACTATTGACAACAAATGCAAACAAACAATTGTAAATACGGTGGATTCAATTAGCATCTGTCAATCACCCACTCCACTCCAAATACCAATATTTAAGATCTGGACTAAGAACCATATGTAGGACATCTGAAAGTGCACTGTAATATATTATCACAGACCCTATATACCGAACGTATTAGAAACTTTCTTAGAAAACTTAGAAAGTTTTTTTTTTCAAACCAAGGCTAGTAGCCTAATTGTTTTTTCCATGAGCACATTGGAATGCATAGCCAGCGTTCATTTTAAGAACATGCTCACCGCAACCGCTCAAGCAAATGTTATGTTACATTACACAGATACACAATAGGCCTACCCTTATAAACGCTTGTGTAGCATACCTATAATGATTGTTATTTAATATCATATTTTCTACGAAACATAGTACTGTATACCAACGTAAAATACAAAGGTGTCAGCTTTTGGATTGCGGTTAGACAATAGTCTTATTTGGTATTTGGACAAACGCTGGGTAACATGATTGAGTTTAATTGGAATGAATTAAAAAATTTCCTAGTGAGTTTTAGGACGTTTTTATCAATCACAGATCTGTAGGACCTGTATCAGTCATTTACTATTGTATAGGCCTACATAAATTATGATTATACATTGTATAAATTTATTATTAAATATCTGTACCAGGGCCCTATAGGATCTGTGATAATATACGAGCAACGGATACAAATATTTTTTTCAGTGATTATTGCTAAAGTAAATCGATTCAGTGTCTCAGGCATTAACATATACCAGTATTATTATAATAATAGATTAATAATAGATTAATGATATAAATAAACCCGGCTAAGATGTATGCACTCATGACATCCAACGGACCATTCAGCCATACTTAAAAGCACAGATACTATATATATTAGCATATCATATCTGCGATCACCGTGATAAGGTAAGGTATGGTTGAATCCTCGTATTTAAAAATCCTCGTCTACAAATTGCTTTATATTTCGTAAGTTGGTACTTTATACACTTCCTAATCATTTGACAATAATAATATGATGATTAGATAGCACAAATTATGAATTATGACCGAAAAACTATCAACTTGCATTGATTTTGTGGTATACATGACATTGAAGACATCTGATGAGTTTAACCATGGAGGTATTATTAAGAAGATCATCACTCGGCAACAGATCCCTTTGACGCGACAAACCAATTTGTTCCCCGCCTTTGGATCGCGCGCGGGCGTATTACCCTATAATTCACATTTCTTTCGTTAGCAACAACTTGGCAACGACATGCGTTTATACGCTCCAGCACAGCAGTTGTGCGATAAAAAGTTTGATTTTAACCCATTAAATATCTTTATAACAAACAATGTTCCCCTGATTGGATTTTTTCGGACTTTTAGTATGTTATTAAATGTGTATATTTCAGAAACAGATTCCGCAAAACATTTCTGTTAAAATTACTTCTGTGTTCATTATAATTCTGTCTAAAGATCGATTTGTTTGACTATAAAGCTAAGGCAGCGTAAAACTGAAAATTACTCTGATTCTGGACTGAATTTTTGAATAGTTAACCCTTGTTAACCCTAAAATGACTTAGTTTATTATAATCCTCCATCATTCATTCCTTAATTAATATCTGTTAAAATTGGAATTATCGAGTTTTATCCAATTTATGGAAATTCAAGTTGCAATATACCATACTTTTAAAGCTGATGTAAATGTTTCATTAAATTTGAAACTCTTTTTTTAGAAAAAAATATTGTGTTTGGTATTTCTTGAAATATCAATGTATTAGCTTCAAGATGGAAACGATTGCGCAGCCATAGTGATTGACTGTAAGTAGTGCGCATTGAGAAAAGAACGTGCTCTCCATTTCGCTGTGTTCAATATTTTTGTAATCAAAGCCTGCTGAGCATTTGGTGGCGGGGAACACATTAGACTTCAAAGGCATCGCGCAAAAGTTCTTCACGCGCTGCGGCAGCTTTGTTCTTGGTTCATTTGCATAGCTCTGTGTGCGCGTGACTTTTTCGAGTGATCTCCTTCTCAATAATACCTCCATGGTTTAACTATGAAACAAAGGCTGTATAGGCCCTTTTTTCGAGCGAAGTGACTTGAAATGCATTAATGGATCTAACATACATCGTATTTTACGGGGGGGGGGGGGGGGGGGGAGAAGTAAAATAAAAATGTATGTATGTCATAACTTCATTTTATTGTATGTATGAATGTATGATGAATGTATGGAGCTTTGAACGACCAACGTAATTTCCGTGCAGAAAAAAAAAAATTTGAACCTGATTGTGAATAATAACACAAGCGCTATGTATAATAATTTATTTATTATTAGTAATGTAAAACCCTTCAGCTAAAAGATAAACCTACCCAATACAGATAGCTTCTGTAGATCATGTTTTGGAAAGAGTAGATTATCGTAACTGCCGCGCCTGCCTGGATACACCGGATTCATCACCATCTCGCCATCTTTCAACACTCGACCGTTGCCCTCTTTATGGTCCTGCTTGTTGGCCAGCATCCCGTTAGTTTTCTCGCTGTCCTCAAAATTCTTACTCATTTTGAGTCGTCTGTGACGACAGTAGCACATAAGGCCAACTACAAGTAAGATGTAGGCAACAGCGCAGCCTACAGCAATTGCAATCGTTCTCGTCATCAATCCAGCTTCAGTAGGTGGACCTGATCCTGTTAATATTTTCGAAAATAAAAATTTTTTTTATAAATATTCAAATAATATTTTTAAGTTTCACGGTACTAAGTACTATTTATTTCATGCAATTTCACAAATAATAACATTGCAATAAATATCAAGAGATATGTAAAGTAAAAATTTCTCTGATAAATAACATGAAAAGGTCATGAAGAAAACATGGCTTTTAGGTTTATGATATTTTGTAAATGTAATATTTAATAAAAATTCATTAAGATATGGATATGAATAAATAAGAACAAAAAAAATAATATTAATGAATAAAACAAAAAAGTAAATAAGAATAAAATAATTTAAAAAAAATAAACAACTAAATACATAAATATATGTGTCAAAATAGAAGATAAAACATAATTATAACAACACTGCCATCTACATTTCAATATGGCAGTATTGATTGTAATTAAGTCATAAACTGTATTTGTTTATTAGAAAAGTTTGTATGCTGGTTAAAAGTTGTTTATTACTTTAACACTTTCAGGCAAGTTATTCCATAGTGCCTATATACTACACTTTGCTGTCCAACATTGATTCTTCTCATAAGTATTTGGTAATTACATTTATTTCTTGTTAGATGATTATGTATAATTATTAATATTTTTTTTAAATAACTTATTGAAAGTTGTTTTTCATACAGAACATAAACATTCAATGAGTTGTTTTGCTGGAATATGTCTGCCGTATGGGGCAGGTAATCAACTTTGCCTACTCTTTGCATCAACTTCTTTTGAAGTAGATGTAATTTGTGAATAGGGATAAGGAGCTTTGGCTTGTACAGTATTTGATTGGTTACTGGTAATTGAATATATTCCATATAACACACATCAGTATTTTCAGTGTGTCTTTCATAGAATAGAGAATACATATACCGAAAGGTCCACTGATTAATCTCAGATCAGTGGTGATGACATAATTAATGTTGAAATATTGAATCCCGACACGATGGTGTGCATTTCAATAATTGGAGTATGTATTATACTATCTTATCTGAGAATACATATACCACAAAACAAACAAAGAAAGTGGGCTGGGACAACAAAGAACTTTTTCTTTATTTGGCCTTATCATTAGTACTTACTTGAGACATCTAAGTTTAAGATCGTTGTATTCAACCCTGCTGCGCTACCAGCAATACATTGGTATGCACCTTCGTCACTTGGAGTCAAACGGCTAATGACCAATGTGCCATTTTTATACACGGTTGATTCTTTCGGCACATTCAGCCACGTTATCTTTGGCGGAGGGTCACCGGTTGCTTGGCAATTGATCACCAGACTCCTTCCAATGTAGCCGGTTACATTTCCAGGAAGTACTGTGAATTTAGGACTAACTATAAAAGACAAAAAAAAAAAAAAATTAGTTTAACAAATTATTAAGAAAAAACACTTGGACGAGTTTAATGTTCATTTTAATCTTAATGCTTTCTCCTTGGTACGGATTGTTCACTTAGTACGAGGTTTCTGTGATGCTGTCAAGGAATTCTTGCATCTATATAGTTTGGTCTTGGCTGAAGATGATGTTCATGGCCATCGAGCAGCAAGGCAGTAACGATCAGATAAACAGAGTTGGGTTTGAACCATGGGGAAGGGGGGAGGGGTACGTCCAGTTTGTAGTAGTGGAAGGTTTTGATTATTATCATGTTGCACTCACAACAGTCTGTTGACTGACATAATTTGTTGGATATACATGAGTAAAGTTTGTTTATGAAATACAAATTGTTTGAAATAATGTTTGTGTTCTATTTACGTCTTGGTGTGATATTGGCCTATGAAGAGCAATCGAGATATGTGACATTTCCCTCCTCTAGCATCCACTTTTAGGTGATTTTTAACTACCTGCAAGTGATTTTTGTCTCTGGGAGGGCTAGGGCAACGCTAGTAATTTTTGGAGGGGTGTGCACCCCCCTAGATACGCCACTGCCTCCAATTCTATTTTACATTTTTATCTTGAGGAAAACATAAAATACCTACTCTGAACAGTTACGCTGACAGAATTATTGATAAATGCACTCGGATCATTCCGAACCATGGCAACACAAATATAGTTCCCAGAATCAGATTGTAATGGGTTGTCAAAGATGAGGAAGTTCTCCCTCTGGTAAACACCGACTGGAAATGATCCAGTTGCTTTCCTCCACAAGATATCAATGTCCTTTCCACCGCGAGCTGTACAGGTCAATCGGCTAGGTTCACCAACTTCTAGCTGTTTCCAGGCTTGCCAGTGTATGAATTTCAACGTTTCTGTTGAATGCAACAAGAAAGTCATTCGAATTACTGTAACAAATAAAATAAGCACTACACCAAACATATTTTTTTCCCTAAGCACTACTTGTAAATAAGCACCATAAAATCACAAAAACCAAAACAATTTTAATACCATCATTATTATCGTTCTTTTTTTAAACTTTATTTATATGGTGATCATTACAGATCACCCCGATCTCACAAAAACAATCAACAGTACATTCATTAAAAAATGATTGAAGATTATTACTTATACAGCATCATTTAGATGATGTTATTGTTAAAAGAGATTAGTTTCAAATAATTTAATTAATTAAAAGTAGCAACAGAAGAGCATGGTTTAATACTATTGCTATATTTTAAAGATGACTTAAGTAGTGCCACGATAGTATAGATATGTAGATATGTGAAGAAATCATTCTGTGCTACAGAACAAAAAAGCAATAAAATGAAACAGTCTTATATTGGATTTTGTAAGTAGTATGCACTGTATTTTAGTTGTAATATGAAATAACAAAATTAAACTTCCACCAATCAGACAACATATCAAAACAATTTCTAAATTTTTGTGACTTCTTAGCCCGATATTGATGGCAGAATTCTGACGGTAAGATAAACATTAAGGTGATTCAGTAAGTCTGGAATCTTGATTTATAGGATGCTTTGGCTTTGATCTTGCAAAGCATGCCGCCACCTCAACATCAGATGGTTTTTTACACCAATTCAAATTTACGATGGTTTCGTGGAATGACAGTTCATGATTTAGGAGCAAGGAGGCACTATAAAATGTACTGTACAGCGCTTTTTTCTGGTCACCACAAAGTCTTTATCAGCAGTACACATTAGAGTATAATCATTTTGAGTTTGTTTGAAATTGGCGACAATAGACAGTTATTAGGCAATAAGATGTATTATTTAAAGATTTTTAAAAACAAGATTCATCCAATTATGCTTGGGTAACAAACAAACTAGGAGATAAAATTATTTAGACTTCACTTTTGTAAATTGTTAAGTGAGAAAGGCTTTTTTTTTATACCTCTATGCACAGGACAGTGAACTTTCGTTTTGTTCATTTACATGACCGCAACAAGGCAACAAAATTACAAAACAGATTGAAGGTCTGGGGTAGGGGTTGGAGCAGCTTAAGAAAATGAGTCACTTTAAGTCTTTCAAGTGATAGCAATCCAATCAATTGGAAGCGTTCTATATTTTTGGGCGTTTTAATTGGCACAACCACCGGCAAAGCTTTAATGTGGAGATCAATATCTCTGTCAGTCATCTAGTTAGCCAATTGAGCATAGAATAAATACATTTTTCCAATGATAAATTTGCTGTTGGGGCAAAACACTAGGCAAAGTAAATAGCTATATACATGTAATGATATACTGTAATTCTATAACTATTACCATATTCTATAATATTACTCATTTTACTTTGAAAACTAAAACCAATATAATAAACGCAAAATGAAATGTCAGAATTATTTGCCGGTCAGAGGATATATACATTTACTTGAATAAGAACTGACATTAACTGCATTACATAGATTAAATAAAGGAACTGTAATTTGAGTTTATAGACTCTAATATGATTGACTCCCCTATGGCTATTGTGCTTGAAAAAACATTGGTATGCTTTTTGCTTTTCAGAATCCTCTATTTTTTAAAAATTTATTATTGTAAATTCAACTTAATTATGTTGCACATGTACAGTACTGCACATTTGCAAATTTTATACTAGAAGTGAATAAAATATAATAAATATACAAAAAATATCCTCAAATGAAAACTGAAATGTTACAATTTACACATTTCTATTTAGATTGTAAATTGAATTGTGTTTTTGTAAATTTGTAATGAGGTTTTAATGTTAATAACATAAACCAATTGTAAATTTATTATAACATAATACATTTGAAATAAAAATAACTAAATAACTAACCTCTTCAATGTTTTATAGGCAGTGGCTATTGTTACACCCGTCTTAAACCAACTCCTAATTATGGTTGGATGATGTTATGGTTGTATGGACTGGATTAGGACACTAACATCACATGAGGATTAGAAATAGGACTACTTGTTTTAATAACAAATCTTGTCTGTGCTTTGAAATTTAGTGGCTTGTTAATGCTTAGGCTGTCCTTTCAGGCTGTATTTTGTATTGTATATTTTCTGAATATCAATAAAGAAAGATTAAACAAGTAACATGGACAGACTACATATTTTTAGGAGCCTTTCAATTTGACATTTCTAACCTTGTACAGTGATGTTCACCAAAGTTTGTGCATTGCCTCCTGGAGATGAAGCTTTGCAGGCATAGAATCCGGAGTCTGACTTCTTCAGTGGTGAAATGCGAAGGGTGCCATTTGGAAACACAGTGAACCTACCACTCTCCTTC